TATAGACAGAAAGATAATTATATAAGTTTATAGATGTTGCTAGAATATAGAAACATACGTTAACATCAAGTTTATATGTTTAAACACAAAACCGTATAAATTGTTAAGGCATTCCTCAATTTACACCAACCACGATTGTTATCGCACAGCGTCCGTCCATCGTGCGCACAGATGTGCGCAAGCAATGATCGTCCAGCTTTTTATCGTTCGCCCATCGTGCACACACCGTTTACACACCGTGCACACATCGTGCGCACACCGCACATCGTGTAACGTTGTGCGATCCCACAACTGTAAGTTGGTTGGGCTAACCATTTCATCTTTAATTGGTAGAATCGGATAACTAGTTACTAATTGCAAGGGCATTTTAGAAGCTGTTTATTGTGCTGGTAAGTCATGTTTTAAATGTCAAGTAATAACATGGTTGTACTGTTACGTTATAAAATCACTGAAAAGATGCAGGTCATTTCATGTTCTTTGTTACTCGCGGAAAATGTCAATGTAAAATTGTACAAACATAGCACACCTCTAAACGGATCTCGTCTTAAGAAGGTAAAGAAACAGGGTCTTCCGAATAACATGGAACTTAAGGCAGGAGAATGTTACATATCTAATAAAGAAAAACAGGACTTCTAGTGTTGGGAAAGGCCGGAGACGAACTAATTGATGGAACTGTTCAGGCACTTCGGAAACACTCCGTGCCGTTCACAACACTAAACGGAAAGGCTATGCGGTTGAAGTATCCAATGTTGGCATATTCCGATGATGTGTCGGGCGTGGATGATCACAGTGGGGGTGTTCTATTCGCCGATAAAGCTTTGGCGGCTTTTCAGGTAAATTATTTCCCCTGAAACATGTATTACAAGGTTCCCTCCTCCCTTTCACTCTCCACAAGGAGTCCCCTCCTTCAAATTGACTCGAAAGAAAGAAGACATTGTCCTAGTTGTGCCAAGAGCTTTGCCTTATTGTTTCCTAACATGATTAAAAGCAATTATTTTCGCATGTTTTGTTTTCATTATTGCTAAATGATGTTTTTGAACTTAGGAGAAAAGATATTTTATTGTTTAACTGATAATATTTAGCTTTGAATACCTCAGTTAAATCAAGTAAAGAGTTGTAAATTGGATAATATACATGTGATGAAAACATAAAAACAGTGTACGATTGCCAACATTGAAATCAGATAGTGGATTATCCTTTCAAGGGTGAGTTTATGAAGCACGGAGGCGTCCTGCGTGATAAAGAATCTTTGGTGGACGTATTCCCGGGAGACATCGTGACAGTCAAGACAAACAAGGGCAGTTACAGAGGCCGGAACCTAGTCTTGGCTGTCGGGCCCTGGGCCACGAAAATACTTCCTCCCCTCGGCATACATTTACCGCTCAAGGTAAGAAGGACACAATGTTAGTAAACGCTCTGTAAGGGCCCAATAATCGGATTGACGTGAGCAACACACATATATATATAAGGGTTAGAAGGTTGAGACAAACTTATTAATATTCGATAAATATATTTATGGTTGGGCATTCGTACGTACATTTGTATGTACTTACAGAAAGACTAAAGGGGCAAGCTTTGCATACAGAAAAACACCGATGCATACAGACTATCAGCCTCAGGTTTTTCAATTTCTTTTTTCTTTTTGATTAGTAATTACTGACATAAAAGTTCGCACTTCTAAGCCTCACGTTTAGACCAATAGATAGATACTACTCAAGCATTAGGCTGATCAGCATAAGTTTGTATATTTTCTATATATATTACTAGGAAGAGCTTTCGATACGATGATACATACAGTCATGTTTGTTAACATAACCCGAATAGGAACATATGTACATTGATAAAGTTGTTAAGAAGTGATCGAGGTCAAAATAACCTGGTTTGTAAAACCATATTTAAATGTACTCTACGGCTATGGAATACCATGAAAAGCTACACGTGATCTGATCATGGAATTATTGATGATAATTATAAGACTATCATGGTATATGTGCTGAGCTTGGAATGCCTTGTTTTGTATCAGATGGATGCAGTTTTTAAAATGAAGCATGTACAATAGACGGACCTTGGAATAACATGGTTGGTATAAGGACCTTTAAACATTCTGTATCGATGTCTTACAAACCTCAAGGAACACTACTTGAAAAATCGACACAACTAAAATATTCAATTAGCCGCTAGCTCGCTGTGAAGACGTACTAGCCGCTAGCTCGCCGTGAGGACGTAGGCGGTGGGCGTTTAATAAGACATTAAACAGTAAGATAGCATATACATATACCAAGCAATGGACATTTATAACATAAACACTTGCACGTCAAAAACTTTTCTGTACTCTGCCAAAAATACAGAACACCTATTCAAAAACGTACCAGTCCCAGAGATTCCCCTTCATCGAGATCAACCCGCTCGCTCAGAAAATACCGGAGATAACCCCCGGAAATCTGCGTCCAGAGGTGGGACAACTATTATTTCCCTGCAGGATATCTCTCAAGTGTGACACCCGGAAACCAATGTCATACTCGTTATTTCCAAACAACATATTTACATACCACAAATACAGGCATGAAACACACCTAAAATAATAAAACCCCACAAACTCCCCGCATTTACTACATGCGACCTACATAACATATACATTGGACTACAAACAAATATATATACCCTGTGCTAACATCCCTATCAACAGTTTAGTGTGAAACGCGCGTCCCGAGTGAGCGACTAGAAATTAACCTATACTATAAGTTATAGTATAGCTCAATCAATATACTATTGATGTATAGATAGTATACTATAGGTTAGGTTCTCGACTAGAAATGAACCTATACTCATTTGTCCTGTGGACACGTGACACCACTCGCCGCTCGTGCCCCAACTAGCAACGAGTGCCACACGAGACAAATGATCCCCGCTTTTACTCTGAAACGCGGGGATATTTGATTATATCTCAAATCCTAGACAGAAATTATCAGTGTTTATAAAAATAGTGCGCAACAGTTCAACTCTCTACGTAACGATTTATATAAACGAATGTTATTTTACTGTAATTTCTAGGTACTCCGTATCAGTGTGTTTTACTGGAAAGAGAAGATTGCAGGAACGTATGGCGCTGATGAATTCCCAACTTTTCTGGGGGGTTACGCCAGTGGGAACTTTGACGTGTATGGCCTGCCTAGCCTAGAATACCCGGGCTTGTATAAGGTAGATACGTATAGGCTGTTCTCATGTTTGTATGAGTATTGTGATAAGTATTAAAATTGATTACAGTTCGAGCTAAGAATGCCAAGGTATGTATAAACAAAACGACCTCAGAATGCCATAGTTTGATAAGGTAGGTACACAAAGGCGGTTTTTTCCCAGTTGCTGATATTGAGCGTAGACCTAGGAATCAGCTAGACCAAGCTTGTAATCACCTGTATTCGTTAGTTATATAATCATGCTGAGAATGAATACGCTGTTCTGTACGGGGAATACTAGGTCTGGTGTAACGTTCTGCTTGTAAGCGGTAGATGTTACTGATGTTGACACCCCTGCAGAATCGGTAGTTTCCCTTTGTCTATAGAAGTTATATTATAGGGCTGCAACGATGTATCGTATCGGATCGCGATAATTCCTGGTGTATCGTATCGCAATACACTAACAGCACTTACACTGTAGATTATCAGTAACTTGTTATCAAACTCTAAATAAGTGAACATGTATTTTTTTAATCCTTCAGTAAAAGATGTGTTCCAATATTAGAAAGTATACAAAATGTGATTTATATAGTATTTACTATTAAAGTCTATGAAATACAATCCTGCACTCAGTCATTATGTAGTTAACCTCTTTAGCAGATATCTATTCATAATACATCTCGTATCGTAATTATCGTACACCATACTCATCGTATCGTGAGGTATGTGTATCGTTGCAGCCCTAAGTGAAAATAATCAAGAAAACAAACAAGCAGTATTTTGTATAACCCAGCAGAGAGTGTACATGTGCAATATGTTTACCTAGGTCAAGTTATGTGCATTGGTATGAACAAACTTCCAGGATAACAGGCTAACTTCTGTGGTATCTACGTTACAGTTGGTAGAACATTGCATGTAATATTTAACATTTAATATGGGGGACATCAAACACTTTTCCTTGTTCTTAGATAAGAGACAATCGTTTTTATAGGGGAAGGATAAAAGTCCAGTATTCTCATTAGACATTCCTATTCCAAATTCGTTATTTACCTCTAGTGAAAATTTGATCGGTCGCGACACATTGTTCATTATACAATGTCACATTCGCTTTAATATTGAATCAATGGAAGGGTGCTTCCCAACGCCCTAGAAACGGGTGACAGTGTGTGTGACAGTATACATTTGTTTCATGGCTATTTTGGGGAACAGTCAAACTATCATCCCGAGGTAGGGGGAAGCCCTGGGGAACTGTTTGCCCGAGGCCGCCAGACCGAGGGCAACCAGTTCCACAGGGCATCCTACTACCGAGTGATGGGTGTTTTGACTGTTCCCCAAATAGCATCGAAACAATTGTTTTATTACCAAATATATTTAGTATTTGTATTAAACCTATTTGCCATTGCTTTGTCTGCGTAACAACACTGAGTCGCAGTCACCGAAACGATTGAACGGGGCTCTCGAGGGGGGATTTCTGCGCCTCGAATTTGCACCGGGTAACATTTCGCTCGGCCCTGGAAAATAGTTTTGACTGTTTTACCCCCACAGCCGAAATTGCACAAAAAACAGAAACAGCAAAAATTGACTAATTATTATTTGTATAGACTATTGAGTAATAATGCAAAATAGTGACCGCGCAAACAAGATGTGCCTGTACATCTCACCGGTGGTTATACGACAACGTAACGTTGATATGAGTTAGTCTCGTTCAACCAGACTATTGGTGTCTACACCGAACAGTGCCTCATTCATGTGGTAGTCAGGATGAAGAATCGGCCGTCTGCTTAGTTAAGTAAAAAAATGTCAAAGTTGCAGATGTTGGTTGATATGCATAAAATGTTCACGGATCATGACTCGAAAAGCACACAGCCTATCGGCAAACGAACATGTACAAAGTAGTTGTGACTGATATGCAGATATGAAGAAGCTGTTCGGTAACCCGATCGTCCATTTCATTAATTAAATTGTTATCTTGCAGCCATGACAGTTTTCAGTGTTTATAACACCAACTTTATTGTTAAAGTTTGAAAAGTTCACCGTTATATTTGTTGATGAAAATACAATATTTGTTACAAATTTGAAATTTTCTAAATTATTTTGACTTTTGGTACAATAAAATAAATACTACATTCATCAGAGTGTGACAGTGCCTAGGGTCACCCCTCGGATAAGTATATATTTGTGATGTTAACAATCAATGTTCACGGGAATAAAAAATTAATGAATTATAACAATTCTTTGAGAAAAACATCACGACGTTGACCCTGACAGACGAGACGACGTTGACAGCACCTGGGTATTGGATAAAATGAAAAAGTTTGTCGCTGAACACTTCCCTCTTCTGGAGCCTCATCCTGTTATCACAAAAACATGTATTTACACTGTAAGTTTGAGCACTTCCCTCTTCTGGATACTTATCCTGGTATCACAGAAACATGTATTTATATTGTAAGTGTGAACATTCTTCTGAAGCCTCATCCTGTTATGACAGAAACATGTGTTTACACTGTAAGTGTGAACATCCGTTTGAAGACTCATCCTGTTATCACAGAAACATGTGTTTACATTATAAGTATATGTAAAGAGAGGTCCGTTTCTAAATTCAACATCATTTCATGCACACAATTCTTCACAAAGAGCTTCACAATTAGACTTTACTTCATTAGTGATTGACTATGGTCGTTTTGAATTCGTAAATGTCACACGTTAACCTCACTGACCTCCGTACATTGTATATACACCATAAGGATGATTAATGACCATACTTTCCCGATTCAAACCTCACGACAAGCCGCATGTTTAGCTTAAAAATATGGGTATTAGACATTTCCCCTCTCATTCTTACTTCACGGCCAGCTTACATTAAGGATCTAAAACTTGATGGATAGTCGTATTATTATATATCACTCCCACTTCACAGACAAAAATATAATTGTATCTGTGATACTGACAACGGTCATTCATGCATGACTTACTTCACTGATAGTCGTATTTATTACTGTTAATTCAGGTGATGCGCATCCCAGCAAGACTTTTCCCTCAAAGATAGTCGTATCTATTCTGTTGCTATAAGTAAAGAGCGCACCTATCTCTCGACTTGCACTTGACAGGTATCAAAATTCCCCTCCATTACCCCACAAATTAAAATTAAAGAAAAAAATACTGATAGTTGGAATACACTAACTACTTCGTTCTGACCTGTATCACACAGAACATCCAGCGCATTGACAATTTCTACTTGGATAATTTGTTAATGATTCTTTCGATGATGATCACACCAAATTCTGTGGGAGGTTTGAATTTGCAATACTTGTGTAACATCAAATTTACAATTTTGAAATCAAAATGAGACAACATTCTAGTAGGGTGTATTTCAAGGTCCCAGGGTAGTCTCTTTATGTTTTGAAAGTAAGGGTATCAGACAAGAAAAAATCAGCGCCAGTTATGACGTATTATTTACTTATTCTACAAGTGTACCCCACAAGAGCAGCTCTACGTAATGTGTGTAAATTAGTCTTGCCATACACACAGCATTGCTTTCTTTAAGAACACTCCGGACCACGACTTTGTACTGGACAGACATCCGGCCAGGCGGAACATAATCATCGGTGCTGGCTTCTCAGGTGGGTTTAGTTTGTATCTACCTGTATTACCTGTACATGTATATGTACATTCGTTTACATTCGTTTATGATTTTTGCGGGCTGATGGTGTTCCTACCTCCCGGGGAACTGTGTGACTCCCTAATTCTGATACGATTAATTGTATTCTGTACAAACTTAAATTTTCAGTTTTACTAGCTATTACTCCAATGTGAAAGCTTCCCTGGTTGATGGGTTGGTAAATTATAACATCTGTTCGTGTCACCTTCAACACAATTTTAACTACACATCATGCAAAAGATCAATTTAACATGGATCTCTGTCATTTAAACAATGACGTTTGTCCGATTTCCTGTAACTTAAATATCTCATGTTCCTTTACGTGCCTTGTATTGTATATTGTAAAGGCTAAGTGGTTGTCTTGTCGTCGTTGACATCCGAAAGAGACATTTTCACTAGTTTACAAATATACGCAAAATTAATCACATCCGTTATATAACCCGATTAGTCATTCCTTTATTTCGAGGACAATACGATATGGGTACCAAATAAAAATCATGCCCTGAGTACATAGTTGTATCACGACGTGAAGAAATCATTCGGTATAATACTGTGTCTGTATGATTGGTTATTTTTTAGTTAATTAATGATTTCGTAAAACTGATGACATCTGTTTATGCAATGCATTCATGAAATTATATACATGTACCATTATGTTATAATGATTTCTATCAGCATCAGCGGTTATAGTTATTCTTTTGAGGCAAAGGTTAACATGAAACCGTTACCACTATTGCAAAATACTTGTTTCGGTCCTTTTCAAAAAAGTATCCCATAAATTCATATGTCATGATGCATTTTATAGAATTAAAATTGTGAAAAATAATGGAAGGGTCGAACTCTGGACCTGCACTTTACAAAGTCTACACTTTCCCGATGATGCAATGCGAACATTATTTTACAGCAATGATATGAGTGTCCAAATTATGTTCCTAAAAACCAAGAATAACCCAGACATAGGAGAATATCTAAGCCAGTAAGTCTATTGACTGCTTCATCTTTATAGAAGGGAGACTACTCCAAATACAAAAGGGAAATAAATCGTTGAGTGGTGCAGGGGTACCTTTGACCTTAAAAACATTATTTGGATCGTGTGATATCGGACTGTAGCCTGGTAAAAGTAGCACAATATTCCCTCACTTATGATAATTATCTTCCTACACCTTTTATCATTGCCAGGTGTTACGCTTTGCTGCTGGATAATAATGTATCAATCTTTATTTCGAGTTTGTCTTACTGATATCTGTATGTCGAGATCTGAATGAATGACCTTTCATCTGACTGAGGTTTGTATGTCGAGATTTGAATGTGTATGTTGGGATTTGAATGAAAGATCACTTGACTAACTGCTGTCTGTATGTCGAGATGTCTATATATCGAGTCCCTTTGTATTACAGGGCATGGTTTCAAGTTGTCTCCAGTTGTAGGGATAGTCCTCGCTGAGCTGGTAATGCGGAAGACACTATTCTACAACCTGTCTCATTTTAGGATCGACCGATTCAACAAGTCATCCAAATTATGAATAATAGAAAATATCAATGTCTATATAACCATCTATAATGACAATTCCTCGGACAAATGGAAACTAATCAAAACTTGCTAGTGATATGTTCAAATCGATATCTGTGTGTTCGAAAATATGTTTGATTTTATAGACCAGTATATAAAATACAAATATGGTATCCTACATATTTGCTATCAATGCATTGAAACATACAATATCACCTTCATGACAAGTATATGATAACCTGGCTATCATAAGACCATATCCATATCCTTACCCGGATCAACCATCTGTCTATAGCAGTCCCTAGGCCGCCGACCCTTCGGATGTTGAGGTCTACGGATGATTCGGAAAAGGATCTCGTAATTGTGTTAGGACAGGCTTGTTATCATTAACCAAATATTAACACGAATAGGTATACTGCATCATAATGTGACACAATTTTATTTTTATTTAAAAACCAAACTGATATTCCGTTTGATATGTTTTACCAGTAAAAGTTAATAATTGACTTTCCTACTTCTCCACAGTAACAAAGACCGACAGAAGATCTTATACAAATCACAATCTTAATGATGAAAGTGATGTAATCAAATTGTAAATGTAATACCAACCTGATGAAATTGATTAATGCGAGTTTTACTGATTGTTTCTCTTATACATGTACCTCAGACCCAGGGAATCAACTGCACTGTTTTCCTAAATGCATCGCATTACCATGTTTATGAACTATTGACTCTTCTATCAATTGAGCGTTATAAAAGATATTCACAGGAATATGCATTTACTTTCTCATTTGGGAAAGACGTCAGGTAAAAGCTGCTACCTTGATGCATGTTCTCAAATTGTTCTTTTTTAAAATATGCATGGTTTACCATATGAAACCGTCACTCTCATACAGTCAAAAGGTACAACAGAACATACCAACAAGTACGCACACATGGGAAACTAATTTTGCAATTTTTGTTAGACAGAATACTTCAAATGATATATATAAATACTTATATAAGTACGTTTTAATGTGTTGGAGGAAGGCCTAGTTACCTCCCTTTACAGTGTCAGTACTGCATGTTTAATACAGTAGGATGGTTTTATAATTACCTCTGTGGATGTATTTATCTACTGATGCATGAGTTTAGATTAAGATATAAGTCAATTTGAATGGAATCATCTAAGTGTAAACGGATAATAGTGAATCAAACCTCAAATATTTATAAATAATTTGTATTTTTATTATAAATATCATGTAAATAAAAGATGACGTGTATGATTATATAAACAAAATCAAATAGACACCGATTTTGGTGAGAAATATAAATAAACACGTATGCAAATGTGAGCGTTTGATATTTTTTCTTTATTTAAGCACATGATTAACATCTAAATATCTCAGTTTTATCAAGTCATTTGATCGGTTCAAATCGAAATCTGTGGGTTCGAAAAGATGTTTGATTTTATAAAACAGTATATAAAATACAAATATGGCATCCTACATATTTGCTATCAATGCATTGAAATATGCAATATCACCTTCTTGACGGATGTATATGATAACATTGTTCATTACACACTGCCACATTCGCTTTAATATTGAATCAATGGAAGGGTGCTTCCCAACGCCCTAGCAACGGACTGTGTTAAAATGTTATATATATATAACTATGAAAATATTGCAACATGAAGAAAGCATGTGTCTGGAGTACTTTCAGTACTTTGATTATAAATATATTTCAGCCAAATCCGATCGTTATTTTCCAGAAGGAGACTCACTTGATATGTTTATATAGTATTTGAAAAAAATGCAATTCACCGTGATGTCCCTCTAAATACAATCCTCAACGCCAAATTGTTCCAACTATCAGAATAAGGTTGACTAGTGCTTATCGAGTACAGGAGTACTCACGCGATACACATGACCTTTAAAATTACTATCACATGTGTTACTTGTAGATGACATATGTTATCGCACGCCTGTAAATAAATCTCCTGTAAACATGGAGGTGTACGACTCGATCGTCGTGGGAGCGGGAATAGAGGGCTCGTCCACAGCATATAACTTGGTCAAGAATGGACAACGCACCTTGTTGCTTGAACAGGTGAGACCTCTGCTCAGCCAAAATAGATAACATGTTATCAGTGTTTTTAGTTTTTAATATGATATCTATTGATAGAAAACAAGTGCACAGTCTGTGAGTCGCTTGATTATAACATGTACCTGCAGAGTGTGCAAGGTGGACGGTATATATACAGTTGTTTACGTAACGATGATACAGCACGATAAACTAGTAACTATTCCGAAACCACTACCGTGTACATAGACTGGCTACCAGCCCCTAAGTTGTTACTACTAGCTAATCTCCCCCTAGTTTAGAACTTTCTGGAATCAGACATCCATGTGAAAAACACTTTCTGAGATAATTCTTTTCTTTTTAATTCGATATTCCGGAGACGGGGCCAGTCTACCGTGTACACCGAGATCCCTCTTGTGTACTCGATATTCTGGAGACGGGGGCCAGTCTACTGTGTACACCGAGATCCCTCTTGAGTACTAGAATGTCGATCAAGGCCGCACTTGTCCGTTACAATTACACCTGGATGGCGCCCGGGTCATGTACTTAACATTCACACAATGTTCAGACACCATAAGTACAATATCCCTTCATATTGCTGAAGTAAGGAAAACCTGGTTTTAGTATAATAACATATATAGAGATCATAAAATTTTGCAACCGGCACAATTTACAAACTACACTCGATTTACAATTGCTTACTTCAGTGTAGGTATCCTAGCTAAGATCCAATAAAATGTAACTACGAGTGTTTACAGATTTATTACACAATTTATTATCCCCATTTTAAGTCTCAAATTAAAAGCACTTTGCTACATTTTTATGTATCTTTATATATGTTGTTAAAAAAGGAAAGCGAGAGAGGAATGATCAGGTAGATTCCCGCATTTCCGACATTTTGATAGTTCTTGCCTTCAATGAGCATATTTTACGACAAAACTAACCATGATTTATATTTTATCGGCAAATACGCTGTTGCTCTATACATTCCACGACGTGGGGTCAAATTTCCAACTAGTTGGTTAGGTATTCTCATCGATTATATCGATAGACAGAAACAAGGAGAAGACTTAATGTTTTAAAGCAGATTTTGAACTAAGCTGCAGACTGATATAGGCATAGCCTTTCATGCCAAATATTTTAATCATGAACAAAGGATATTAAAATTTACTTAGAAACCCCTGAAATATAATTTTCAATCAAATTATATTAGGGTCAACATACTATTGCTTTACAAATAAATGACAACAGAAATTGTAGGTGACGTGAAAAAATCCTCCTAATGTAATTCAAAATTCATCAATTTCCGGTATTTAGCAAACGACATCGTAGGACATGGCTTGACGAGTCCAAAATGCTTACTTCTCCTATTCCTATCGTTAATACAAATCATCACAAAGTTGACCAACTGAAAATAATTTATAATTCTGTCTGCAACATTTATAATGAAATTAAACTATAAATATTTTCTTACATATGATATCATATAACTGATTAGATTTTGAAATTGTGAAGCTTGACACAATTTGACATCAATCTTCAGTATCACTCAAACAAGACAAAGTCCAACACTTCGACGGCTTATACAGAACAAAGTCCGATAAGTTACATGTATAATATAATGGACAAAGTTCAGTCTGGTATTTTATAGATACTAGTACAACACACAGGCCAGTGTTCAAAAACAAAGGGGCAAAGTTAATGTGCCGACATGTTATAACAAACATGACAAAGTGAACGACGTTAGCGGGCATATAGGAAGTGGTCGAACTAAAAAAAAAAAAAAATGTTGTCCGGACATTTTTTGTTCTAAATTAAAGGACCGATTTCATAATGTACATCGTATTTGAATTTATATACTTCGTCATTGCAGTCCCTCTACGGAAACTTAAGCATCTGACCAATGATAATGACAAGTTAGGAGTAATAAATAGGGGATACATTTTATGTTGGGAGAAAAAACAAACAACCAACTGTTATGTTTAGGTATTTAATTTTATTTCAAAAAACTGTATTGGCAATGACAACAAATTATGTTTATATCTGTCCTCTCCTTGAACATGTTTTCCATGCAAATGTCTTGTTATCAAGATGCTTTAGCATATGTAATGTATGAACATGATCACTTCTCAGTTAAATTAACTTCCGCTAAAGTGTATCCGTGACGATACTGATATAGATATGATACAAACAATATGCAGATTACATCAATCATCCATAATTAATCAATTGTTTATCTTAAATTCATCGATGGAAAAAGAAAAGAAAAAGAAAACGATAGAAGTTTGGTTTGGTTTTTATAGTGTAAGAAGGCAGTGTATTTTGGTGTTTTTGCTTCCTCGTTAAAGCGCCGATCTGATGCCGACTTTATATTGCTACCGCACTGATATACCATGCCGAAGCAAAGCATTCCGCACGATCATATTATACTGATCACAGCTCAACCAGCTGTTTTGTTTTCTCCAAATGTTGAACATTAAGCAGCGAATATTAATGACCATTTTGAAAGTATATCACGGCATGGAGACAGAACCATTGCCCTTCTCACCTAGGTGATCATTCAACATTAAAACAAAAAGTGAGTTATTGCCATGCAAGGTGCTAGGAAACAAAAGGTTGATGGATGAGATACATAAATATCCAAAATACTGCAATGGGTGCAAAAGATTTACTTTGGTCGTTTTTATGTCTCCAAGAAGAAGCCAAAAACGCATATCCCAAATTAAAAGGTTGTCACATATGTCGCCTCTTGCGATCACGCCTTGGATAACTGCATGTCGATTCTTTTCTCAATTCCCGACCTTCATGGGTGGCGATCAAAGTGGTAGGATATGTTTTGACGCTATATTTATATTAGATAAAATCATCCGTGGCGGGAAAGGGTAAGTGCATGACATAAATGTGATATACTCGTGGTTGTTTTGTATGGTCCATGTCACAAGCTTTTAAAAAAAATGATGCGGCTTTTAGTAGCACTTAAAGAATGGTGTCATTTTAAGTAACAATCCATTTTTCATGAAATAAGTTATGTTTTATTAAACCGTTATTGATTTCCCCAAATTTGTCAATGCTCATATTGATCCGATAATAGTATGGACGCCTTAACTTACCAAAGACATTCCGTATACCTGTGTAAGTACTTCATTGTATATTTTAGTTCCCCCTGCCCCATTCTCGAGGAAGTTCTCATGGACAAAGTAGAATTACCAGGATGGCTTATGGCGATGCCGATTACTACACAGAGATGATGAAAGAGGCTTACAGATTATGGGAAAAACTAGAAAATGAATCCGGAACGACTATATATACGTAAGTGGAAATCAGACTTACCTTTGGGTAAGAATGTATAGAACAAATCCCAATTATTATGTATAGGTTTCTTATTAGAAACAAAGAGAAAGAGAAAGAACACACAACTGATATCTAAACCAAAATTTAAACTCAGAATCTATAACAAACACTTCCTTAGTGTAAACAATGGAAAATTGAAAGAAATACATGGGAAATACTAGGAAACTATGAGGAGAATTAAACTATGTATGTTGGCAGGGTAAGTGCCTCCTGCTACAAAGATCAGGCCCGCCATGTAATAAGGTCTGGTTTCAATGTTTACAATGTAAGTTGGTTCGGCTATCCAGTTCATCTTTAACTCGTAGAATCGGATAACTAGTCACTTGATGAGAAAGGTGGATGGGGCTTGGGGTTGCTAAGGAAATCCGCCATCTTGGATCCAAGATGGCGCCTTAGCAACAGTGTTTACAATGTAAGTTGGTTCAGCTAACCAGTTCATCTTGGATCCAAGATGGTGGATTTCCTTAGCAACCCCCAGCCCCATGCACCCGTTCTCATCAGTCACTAACTGCAGGGGCATTTAACATGCTGTTTATTGTGCTGGTAAGTCATATTTTAAATGTCAAGTAATTAAATGGTCGTACTGTTACGTTATAAAACCACTGAAAAGATGCAGGTCGATTCATGTTCTTTGTTACTGGCGGAAAATGTCAGTGTAAAATTGTACAAACATAGCACACCTTTAAACGGATCTCGTCTTAAGAAGGTAAAGAAACAGTGTATTCCGAATGTTATATATCTATAACAGAAAAACAGGACTTCTAGCGGTGGGAAAAGCCGGAGACGAACTAATTGATGGAACTGTTCAGGCACTTCGGAAACACTCCGTGCCGTTCACAACACTGGACGGAAAGGCCCTGCGGTTGAAGTATCCGATGTTGGTCTATTCCGATGATATATCGGGCGTGGAAGATCACAGTGGGGGTGTTCTATTTGCCGATAAAGCTTTGGCGGCTTTTCAGGTAAATTATTTCCCCTGAAACACGTATTTCAAGGTACCCTCTTCCCTTTCACCCTCCACAAGGAGTCCCCTCCTTCACATTGACTCGCAAGAAAGAAGACACTGTCCTAGTTGTTCCAAGAACTTTGCCTTATTGTTTCCTAACATGATTAAAAGCAATTATTTTCACATATTTCGTTTTCAGTATTGCTAAATGATGTTTTTGAACTTAAGAGAAAGATATTTTATTGTTTAACTAATAATATTCAGTTTTGAATACCTCGATTACATCAAGTAAAGAGTTGTAAATTGGATAATGTACCAGTTATGACAAGATAAAAACAGTGTACGATTGCCAACATTTAAACCAGATATTGGATTATCCTTTCCAGGGTGAGTTTATTAAGCACGGAGGCGTCCTGCGTGATAACGAATCTTTGGTGGACGTATTCCCGGGAGACATCGTGACAGTCAAGACAAACAAGGGCAGTTATAGAGGCCGGAACCTAGTCTTGACTGTCGGGCCCTGGGCAACGAAAATACTTCCTCCCCTCGGCATACATTTACCGCTCAAGGTAAGAAGGACACAATGTTAGTAAACGCTCTGTAAGGGCCCAATAATCTGATTGATGTGAGCAACACTCATATATATATATAGGGGTTAGAAGGTTAAGACAGACTTATTAATATTAGATAAATATATTTATGGTTGGTCATTCATACGTACATTTGTATGTACTTACATAAAGACTAACGGGACAAGCTTTGCATACAGAAAAACACCGAGGCATACAGTCCACAGCCTCAGGTTTTTCAATTTCCTTTTTCCTTTTGATTAGTAATTACTGACATAAAAGTTCGCACTTCTAAGCCTCACGTTTAGACCAATAGATAAATACTACTCACTCGTAAGGCTGATCAGCATACGTTTGTATGTTTTCTGTATATAACTAGGAAGAGCTTTCGATACGATGATTCATACAAGCACGTTTGTTTACAGAACCCGAATAGGAACGATCGAGGTTAAAATTACCTGGTTTGTAAAAACAGATATTTACTCTACGACTATGGAATACCATGAAAAGCTACACGTGCCCTGATCTTGGAATTATTGATGATAATTATAAGACTATCGTGTATATGTGCTGAACTTGGAATACCTTGCTTTGTATCAGATTTATGCAGTTTTTGAAATGGACTGGACCAGGCTTGAAGTATTAAAATGAAGCATGTAAAATATATGTTAGTCATAAAAATAGACGGACCTTGGTATAACATGGTTTGTATAAGGACCTTTAACCATTCTGTATCAGCGTGTTACCTTTCCATAGTATTATCGATGTCTTACAAACCTCAAGGAAATACACATACATATGGTTTATCTCAAATCCTAGGTAGAACTTATCAGTGTTTAATAAAATAGTGCGTAACAGTTCAACTATCTATGTAACGATTTATATAAACGAATGTTATGTTACTGTACTTTCTAGGTGCTACGTATCAGTGTGTTTTACTGGAAAGAGAATATTGCAGGAACGTATGGCGCTGATAAATTCCCAATTTTTCTGTGGGATAACGCCAGTGGGAACTTTGATGTGTATGGCCTGCCTAGCCTAGAATACCCGGGTTTGTATAAGGTAAATACGTATAGGCTTAGCTCATGTTTGTATGAGTAATCTTATAAACATTACGAGTTTGGAATACCAAACTTAGTATAAAACTTGAATACAATTCGAGCTAAGAATGCCAAGGTATGTATACACAAAACGACCTCAGAATACCATAGTTTGATAAGGTACATATACAGTGTATACACAAAGGCGGGTTTTCCAAGTAAATGATATCAAGCGTGGAATCCATGGTTTACAAAAGGTAGACCAAGCTTGTAATCACCTGTATTTGTTAGTTATATAATCATGCTGAGAATGAATACGCTGTTCTGCACGGGGGAATACTAGGTCTGGTGTAACGTTCTGCTTGTAAGCGCTAGATTTTACGGATGGTGACCCCCTGCAGAATCGGGAGTTTCCTTTTGTCTATAGAAGTGATATAATAGGGTTGCAACGATGTATCGTATCGTATCGAGATACTTTCTGGTGTATCGTATCGCGATACTTTCTGGTGTATCGTATCGCAATAGACTAAAAGTACTTAAATTATCAGTAACTTTTTATCAAACTCTAAAAAGGAGTACATTCGATGAATAGGAAATGGGGGTTCTGCATAAAATCCGTTCCTCCCTCTATATTTATAGTAATTCCCTCCCTGACGGGATGGATCAGTGAGGGACATGTGAGGGATGAGGGACTAGGTTATTTTTAGGCCGGTGTGGGGTTTACAGGTGCTGTACCTCCTGCGGCGGCGGCGGCGGCGGCGGCGGCGGATACGCATGAGTAATTTGCGGATAGCTGTACCTCCTGAAGGGGCGGCGGCGAAATAACAACGGGGGCAGTCAACCATATCCGTAAATCACTCATGCGTTTCCGCCGCCGCCGCAGGAGGTACAGTTATCCGCAAATCACTCATGCGTATCCGCCGCCGCCGCCGCCGCCGCCGCCGCCGCCGCCGCCGAAGGAAGTACAGTACTGGAAAAACCCACACCGGCCAAAAAATAACCTAGTCCCTCATCCTCCGCTGGTCCCTCACTGATGTTGTAGAAATTGTTAGCGAATTCATTTTACTTCTAGTTGTGCTTACACGCCGGACCAGAAATTGACCCTGACAGACGAGACGACGTTGACAGCACCTGGGTATTGGATAATATGAAAAAGTTTGTCGCTGAACACTTCCCTCTTCTGGAGCCTCATCCTGTTATCACAGAAACATGTATTTACACTGTAAGTTTGAGCACTTTCCTTCTTCTGGATGCTCATCCTGTTATCACAGAAACTTGTATTTACACTGAAGTTTGAGCACTTCCCTCTTATGTATCCTCATCCTGTTATCACAGAAACATGGGTTTACACTGTAAGTGTGAACATTCTTCTTAAGCCTCATCCTGTTATCACAGAAAAATGTGTTTACATTGTAAGTATATGTAAAGGGAGGTCCATTTCTGAAGTCAACATCATTTCATGCACACAATTCTTCACAATGATCTTCACAATTAGACTTTACTTCATTAGTGATTGACAATGGTCGTTTTGAATTCGTAAATGTTCACACATTAACCTCACTGACCTCTGTATATACACCATAAGGATGATTAATGACCATACTTTCCCGATTCAAACCTCACGACAAGCAGCATGTTTACCTTAAAGTTATGGGTATTAGACAGTTTCCTCCTCATTCTTACTTCAAGGCCAGCTTACATTAAGGATCTAAAACTTAATGGAAAGTCGTATTATTACATTTCACTCCCATTTCAGAGAAAAAACTATAATTGTATCTTTGATACTGGCAACGGTCATTCATGCATGACTTATTTCACTGATAGTCGTATTTATTGCTTTTAATTCAGGTGATGCGCATCCCAGCAAGACTTTTCCCTCAAAGATTGTCGTATCTATTATGTTGCTATAAGTAATGAGCGCACCCCGCTCTCGACTTGCACTTAACAGGTATCAAAATTCCCCTCCATTACCCCACAAATTAAAGAAAACAATATTAATAGTTGGAATACACTAACTACTTCGTTTTGACATGTATCACACAGAACATCCAGCGCATTGACAATTTCTACCTGGATAATTTGTTAATGATTCGTTCGATGATGATGACACCAAATTCTGTGGGAGGTTTGAATTTGCAATACGTTTGTGCAACATCACATTTACAATTTGGAAATCAAAATGAGACAACATTCTAGTAAGGTTTCTTTCAAGGTCCCAATGTAGTCTCTTTAAATTTTGAAAGTAAGGGTTTCACACAGGAAACAATCAGCGCCAGTTATGACGTATTATTTACTTATTCTACAAGTGTACCCCACAAGAGCAGCTCTACGTATTGTGTGTAAATGAGTCTTGCCATACATACAACATTGCTTTCTTGAAGAACACTCCGGACCACGACTTTGTACTGGACAGACATCCGGCCTGGAGGAACATAATCATCGGTGCTGGCTTCTCAGGTGGGTTTAATTTGTAGCTACCTGTATTACTTGTACATGAATAGGTACAGCCGTTTATTATTTTTTCAAGCGGATGGTGTTCCTACCTCCCGGGGAAGTGTTTGTCTCTCTAATTCTGATATGATAAGTTGTATTCTGTACAAACTTAAATTTTCAGTTTTACTAACTATTCCTCCAGTGTGAAAGCTTCTCTGGTTGATGGGTGGGTGAAGTACACATCATGCAAAAGTTCAATTTAACATGGATCTCTGTCATTTGAACAATGACGTTTGTCCGATTACCCGTGTCTTTAATATCTCATGTTCCTTTACGTGCCTTGTATTTTATATTGTAAAAGGTAAGCAGTTGTCTTGTCGTCGTTGACATCCTAAAGAGACATTTTCATTAATTTACAAAAATTACGCAAAATTAAGCACATCCGTAAAATAACCCCATTTTTATTCATTTATGTTAAGGACTATACGATATGGGTACCAAATAAAAAACATGCCTGGGTATACAGTTGTATCAAGACCTGAAGAAATCATTCGGTATAATACTGTCTGTACGATTGGTTATTATTTAGCTAATTAATGATTTCGTAAAATTGATGACATCTGTTTATGCAGTGCATTCTTGAAATTATATGCATGTATCATTTAGTTGTTATGATTTCTATCAGCATCGGCGGTTTTAGTTATTCTTTTGAAGCAAATGCTACCATCAAACCGTTACCACTATTGCAAAATACTTGTTTCGGTCCTTTTCAAAAAAGTAGCCCATTGATTCATATGTCATCATGGTTTTTATAGAATTAAAATTGTTCGAAATTTAAATGTTTGAAAATAGATTGGAAACAGAAAACAGAAAAACAAGCCTACACGATGTTGCAATGCGCAAATTATTTTACAGCAATGATATGAATGTCCAAATTATGGGCCTAAAAGCCAAAGAATAACCCTGACATAGGAGTATATCTAAGCCAGTAAATCTATTGACGCCTTCATCTTTATAGAAGGGAGACTACTCCAAATATAAAAGAGAAATAAATCTTTGAGTGGAACCCTTCTTTGCGATGTTTACTGATGCAGTGGACCGTTGACTTTAAGAGATTTGAGAACACTATTTGTAGTGTGTGATATCGGACTGTAGCCTAGTAGAAGTAACACAATATTCCCTTACTTATATAATTGTCTTCCTACACATTTTATCCTTGCCAGGTGTTACGCTTTGCTGCTGGATAATAATATATCAATCTTTATTTCGAGTTTGTCTTACTGATATCTGTATGTCGATATTTGAATGAGTCGATATTTGAATGAATGACCTTTCATCTGACTGATGTTTGTATGTCGAGATTTGAATGTGTATATCGGGCTTTGAATGAAAGATCAATTGACTTACTGCTGTCTGTATGTCGAGATGTCTATGAATCGAGTCCCTTTGTATTACAGGGCATGGTTTCAAGCTATCTCCAGTTGTAGGGAAAGTCCTCGCTGAGCTGGTCATGCGGAAGACACCATCCTACAACCTGTCTCATTTTAGGATCGACCGATTCAACAAGTCATCCAAATGATGAATAAAAGAAAAAAATCAATGTCTATATAATCATCTATAATGACAAAAACGAACAATTCATCGTACAATCATATCAATATGGAACATGATTAAATGAAAACTAATCAAAACTTGCTAGTGATATGTTCAAATCGACATCTGTGTGTTCGAAAATATGTTTGACAGTATATGAATTACAAATATGGCATCCTACATATTTGCTATCAATGCATTGAAACATACAATATCACCTTCATGACAAGTATATGATAACATGGCTATCATAAGACCATATCCATATCCTAACCCGGATCAACCATCTGTCCATATCAGTCCCTAGGCCGCCGACCCTTCGGATGTTGAGGTCCACGGATGATTCGGTGAAGGATATCGTTATTGAGTTAGGACAGCCTTGTTGTCATACATTTGTACATGCATGCTAGACATAAAAAATATGTCAGCACAACATTAAAATCATAAGCAATAACACAAATCGATTGTAATTGTGGATTTATCGTACTGAATTGGAAGTAAAATGGAAATGACAGGTACATGGCGGACACGGCGCTTGCAGGGCGTATATTTGGCGGTCAGGGATATGGCTTATGCGCAGCAAACAGTATCGCAGTATCGTATAACATTTATTATTCCAGATATGTATCAACATGTAAACATTTCATATAGTATTCAAGATTCTGTATAAAAAATGCATATATAACAAATTATTCAAGACAGTGATTTGAAATTTCAAAACACAAGTTATTACACCTCCGTCGAGTGACTTTTATAATAATTTCATTAGCCTATAGAACATTGAATAAAGTGTCACTTGCTAGAAACGAAAAATGGTTGACTGTGCTATTTGACCGTGTCAGATGCTGCCTACATGAATAAGAAATATCTTAACAACGTCTTTTTATACGAGTATAATATGAGACAATAAGCAGAGGACAACCGAAGACAAACTGAACAGAGTCTGAATGGAGTACAAATATACCTCACAAGTAGAAACTCACATGTTCGTACAAAACAGACGAAGTTGTATAAAAATATTATTTTTTCGCTTTACACGTTTTAAGGATCAACCTTCATTTTGACGGCGTATACGGAAGTATGAGTGCAGTTGGTAACGAACATTTGTTGACTCCGCGATCGATCCAGGTAGCATTATCGGTAAATCTATTGATGTACATGTTTGAAAATAAATGTAAGTCATAGACGGGTTATTGTAAATGTTTACATGCCTATAGCTTGTAATAATTAGAGGAAAATATATGCGGGAAACATTTAATACTAGCCAATAAAACAAAACAATAGTTTAACATATGTCAGGTAGTTATAAAGGATTCAAATATTGAAATGTCATTGTGGCTACACTAATGGTGTATGCACCCATCAAACACATCAACACGAATAAGTATACTGCATCATAGTGTGACACAATTTTGTTTTATTTAGAAACCAAACTGATATTCCGTTTGATATGTTTTACCAGTAAAAGTTAATAATTGACTTCCCTCAAAGTAACAAAGACCGACAGAAGATCTTATACCAATCACAATCTGAATGATGAAAGAGATGTAATCAAATTGTAAATGTAATACCAACCATAATGAAATTTATCAATACGAGTTTTACTGATTGTTTCTCTAATACATGTACCTCAGACCCAGCGAATCATCTGCATTGTTTTCCTATATGCATCGCATTACCATGTTTATGAACTATTGTCCACTCTCCTATCAATTAAGCGTTATAAAAGATATTTATACGAAATTACGTTTGTTTTCTCATTGACATAAGACGTCAGGTAAAAGCTGCTACCTTGGTGCATGTTCTCAAATTGTTCTTTTTAGCAGTTTTGGGAAGCAGAAAAATATGCACGGTTTACCATATGAAATCCACACTCTCATACAGTCAAAAGGTACAACAGAACATACCAACAAGTACGCACACATGGGAAACTAAATTTTTGTTAGAAAGATTTCTTCAAAGGATATATATATATATGTACTTGAATTTGAGAAACAAATATTTGCCTTTTCTTCATGCATCTATTCTGATATGTGTTTATAAATTGGCTATTTCTTCAAAGTTTTGTATACGTTTTTTAAATGTGTTGGAGGAAGGCCTAGTTATCTCCCTTTACAGTGTCAATACTGCATGTTCAATACAGTAGGATGTTTTTATAATTACCTCTGTTTATGTATTTATCTACTGATGAATGAGTTAAGATTAAAATAATAGCCAATTTGAATGGAATCATATATGTGTAGACGGATAAAAGTGAATCAAACCTCAATTATTTATAAATAATTTGTATTTATATTGTAAATATAATGTAAATAAAAGATGGCGTGCATGATTATATGAACAAAATCAAATAAACATCGATTTTGTTGAGAAATATAAATAAACCCGTATGCAAATGTGAGCGTTTGACTTTTTTTTGCTTTATTTAAGCACATGATTAAAATCTAAATATCACAGTTTAAATCAAGTCATTTTAGACATTTAAATGAGTATGTCAGATTTCGCTTTAATTTCGCATAATATCATATCTTTCTTTAAAATAAAATGTAATATTCCTACGGTATTTATTCATGCACTTGCTCTATTCTGATAATTCTGTCCGGCTAGGATAAAAATAATGATAATGCTCAAATAAGTAAGTATATATTCTCACCCAATTAACATATCATAAAATACCTTAAAGAGATCATCATTAATGTTTTAACGCTTGTCGTTATTGAATGTAACTATATTATTAATACAGATTAAACTTTGAAGTCAAAATCACGGTAATTGATAGTAAACGTAGTGACAATTTAGGACTTTCTAACATTGGGAACTCTCACCTCGATTTTTGATTTCTGACTCTGGCCACTCTCACCTCGATCTTAACTTACTGATATTGAACACTGTCACCTCTATTATTAATTTCTGACACTGTACACTATCAGCTCGATCCTAACTGTCGGACACAGGGCACTCCAACTTCGATTATTAATTACAGACACTGGGCACTCTCACCTCGATTATATTACTTTCTGACACTGGGCACTCTCACCTCGATTATTACTTTCAGACACTGCGCACTTCCAACTTGATAATTACTGTCTGACACTGGCAACTCTCACTTCGATTACAACTTTCTGTCACCGGCCACTCTCACCTCGATTATTACTTTCTGACACTAGACACTATCAGCTTGATTATAACTTTCGGTCACTGGACTGGGCACTCTTACTTCGATTATTACTTACAGACACTGGGCACTCTCACCTCGATTATTACTTTCTGGCACTGGGCACCCTCACCTCGATCATAACTTTCGGACACTGGGCACTGTCTCCTTGATATTTACTTTCTGACACTTGGCACTCTAACCTCGATAATTACTTTCTGACACTGGGCACTCTCACCCCGATTATTACTTTCTGACACTGGGCACTCTCAACCCGATTATCACTTTCTGACTTTGGACACTGTCACCTCGATCATTACTTTCTGACACTGGACACTCCTACCTCGATCATAGCTTTCTGATATTGAACATTGTCCCCTTGATAAATACTTTTTGACACTTGGCACTCTCACCTCGAATATTACTTTCCTACACTGGCAACTCTCACCTCGATTATAATTTTCTGACACTGGCCACTCTCACCTCGATTATTACTTTCTGACATTGGCCACTCTCACCTCGAATATTACTTTCTGACACTGGCCAACCTCAGCTCGATTATTACTTTCTGACACTGGCCACTCTCACATCGATTATAATTTTCTGACACTTGCCACTCTCACCTCGATTATTACTTTCTGACACTGGACACTGTCAACTCGTTTAGGACTTTCTGACACTGGACACTCTCACCTCGATTATTACTTTCTGACAATGGGCACTGTCACCTCGATCAAAACTTACGGACACTGGGGACTCTCACCTCTATTATCACTTTCTTACATTGTGCACTTTCACCTCGATCATAACTTTCTGACTTTTGGTACTGTCACCTCGATCATTATTTTCTGACTTTTGGCACTGTCACCTCGATCATTATTTTCTGACACTGGGCACTGTCACCTCGATTATTTCTTTTTGACACTGGACATTATCACCTCGATTAGAACTTTCTGACACTGGGCTCTCTTACTTCGATTATTACTTACAGACACTGGGCACTCTCATCTTCCAACTTGATAATTACTGTCTGACACTGGCCAACCTCAGCGCGATTATGACTTTCTGACACTGGCCAGTCTCACCTCGATTATTGCTTTCTGACACTAGGCATTACTTTCTGGCACTGGACACTGTCACCTCGATTATTTCTTTTTGACACTGGACATTCTCACCTCGATTATTGCTTTCTGACACTAGGCACTCTCATCTCGATCATATCTTTCTGGCACTCGGTTCTTTCACATCGATTAATACTTTCTGACACTAGGCACTCTCATCTCGATCATATCTTTCTGGCACTCGGTTCTTTCACATCGATTAATACTTTCTGACACTGGACTCTCTCCCCTCGATCATAACTTTCTGACTTTTGGCACTGTCCCCTCGATCATTATTTTCTGGCTTTTGGCACTGTCAGCTCGATCATTATTTTCTGCCACTGGCCACTTTCACCTCCATTATTACTTTTTGGCACTGGCCACTCTTACCTCGATTATAACTTTCTGACATCGAACAGTGTCCCCTTGATATTTACTTTTTGACACTTTACAATCTCACCTCGAATATTCTTTTCTGACATTGGCCACTCTCAACTCGATTATAACTTCACCTCGAATATTACTGTCTGACACTGGCCAACCTCAGCTCGATTATTTCTTTTTGACACTGGACATTATCACCTCGATTAGAACTTTCTGACACTGGACTCTCTCCCCTCGATCATAACTTTCTGACATCGAACAGTGTCCCCTTGATATTTACTTTTTGACACTGGCCACTCTCACATCTATTATAACTTTCTGACACTTTGCACTCTCACCGCGAATATTACTTTCTGACACTGGGCTCTCTCACCTCGATCATTATTTTCTGCCTTTTGGCACTGTCACCGATCATAACTTTCTGACACTTGCTACTCTCACCTCGAATATTACTGTCTGACACTGGCCAACCTCAGCGCGATTATGACTTTCTGACACTGGCCACTCTCACCCCGATTATTACTTTCTGACAACGGGCACTGTCCCCTCGATCAAAACTTACGGACACTGGGGACTCTCACCTCTATTATCTCTTTCTGCCACTGGCCACTTTCACCTCCATTATTACTTTTTGGCACTGGCCACTCTTACCTCGATTATAACTTTCTGACATCGAACAGTGTCCCCTTGATATTTACTTTTTGACACTTTACAATCTCACCTCGAATATTCTTTTCTGACATTGGCCACTTTCTCCTCGATTACTTTTTTCTGAAACTGGATACTATCACCTCGACCATACCTTTCTGATATTGAACACTGTCACCTCTATTATTACTTTCTGACACTGGGCACTGTCACCTCGATCATTTCTTTCTGACACTGGGCACTCTCATCTCGATCATATCTTTCTGGCACTCGGTTCTTTCACATCGATTAATACTTTCTGACACTGGGCTCCCTCACCGCAATCAAAATATTCGGACATTGGGCACTGTCACCTTGATAATTACTTTCTGACACTGGGTACTGTCACATTAATAGTTACTTAGTGACACTGTGTTCTCTCACCTCAATTATTACATTCTGCCAACTGGTACTCACACCTCGATTATTACTTTCTGACACTGGTCACTCTCACCTCGATTATAACTTTCTGACACTGGCCACTCTCACCTCGATTATTACTTTCTGACACTGGTCACTCTCACCTCGATTATAACTTTCTGACACTGGTCACTCTCACCTCGATTATAACTTTCTGACACTGGCCACTCTCACCTCGATTATTACTTTCTGACACTGGTCACTCTCACCTCGATTATAACTTTCTGACACTGGTCACTCTCACCTCGATTATAACTTTCTGACACTGGCCATTATCACCTCGACCATACCTTACTGATATTGAACACTGTCACCTCTATTATCACTTTCTGACACTAAACACTCTCACCTTGATAATTACTTTCTGACACTGAGCACTCTCACCTTGATCATTACTTTCTGACTTTGGGCACTGTCACCTTGATCTTTACTTTCTGACATTGGGCACTCTCACTTCGATCATTACTTTCTGACACTGGGCACTCTCATCTCGAAAATATCTTTCTGACACTCGGTACTCTCACATCGATTATTACTTTCTGACACTGGGCTCCCTCACCTCAATCCTAACATTCGGACATTGGGCACTGTCACATTGATAATTAATTCCTGACACTGTGTACTCTCACCTCAATTGTAACATTCTGACACTGGGTACTCTCACCTCGATTATTACTTTCTGACAATAGCCACTCTCGTCTCGATTATCACTTTCTGACACTGGACACTCTCACCTCGATTATTACTTTCTGACAATGGGCACTGTCACCTCGATCAAAACTTACGGACACTGGGGACTCTCACCTCTATTATCACTTTCTTACATTGTGCACTGTCACCTCGATCATTATTTTCTGATCTTTGGCACTGTCACCTCGATCATTATTTTCTGACACTGGCCACTCTCACCTCGATTATTACTTTCTGACACTGGTCACTCTCACCTCGATTATAACTTTCTGACACTGGGCACTGTCACCTCGATAAAAATTTACGGACACTGGGCACTCTCACCTCTATTATCACTTTCTGACATTGGGCACTCTCACCTCGATTATTACTTTCTGACAATAGCCACTCTCGTCTCGATTATCACTTTCTGACACTGGACTCTCTCACCTCGATTATTACTTTCTGACAATAGCCACTCTCGTCTCGATTATCACTTTCTGACACTGGACACTCTCACCTCGATTATTATTTTCTGACATTGAACACTGTCCCCTTGATAATTACTTTCTGACATTGGACACTCTCACCTCCATTATTACTTTTTGACACTGGCCACTCTTACCTCGATTATAACTTTCTGACACTGGCCATTATCACCTCGACCATACCTTACTGATATTGAACACTGTCACCTCTATTATCACTTTCTGACACTAAACACTCTCACCTTGATAATTACTTTCTGACACTGGCCACTCTCACCCCGATAATTAGTTTCTGACACTGGACTCTCTCACCTCGATTATTACTTTCTGACAATGGGCACTGTCACCTCGATCAAAACTTACGGACACTGGGGACTCTCACCTCTATTATCACTTTCTTACATTGTGCACTGTCACCTAGATCATTATTTTCTGATCTTTGGCACTGTCACCGATCATAACTTTCTGACATTGAACAGTGTCCCCTTGATATTTACTTTTTGACACTTTGCACTCTCACCTCGAATATTACTTTCTGATATGGGCTCTGTCACCTCGATTATTTCTTTTTGACACTGGACATTCTCACCTCGATTATTACTTTCTGACAATAGCCACTCTCGTCTCGATTATCACTTTCTGACACTGGACACTCTCACCTCGATTATTATTTTCTGACATTGAACACTGTCCCCTTGATAATTCCTTTCTGACATTGGACACTCTCACCTCCATTATTACTTTTTGACACTGGCCACTCTTACCTCGATTATAACTTTCTGACACTGGCCATTATCACCTCGACCATACCTTACTGATATTGAACACTGTCACCTCTATTATCACTTTCTGACACTAAACACTCTCACCTTGATAATTACTTTCTGCCACTGAGCACTCTCCTTACATTGTGCACTGTCACCTCGATCATTATTTTCTGACACTGGCCACTCTCCCCTCGATAATTAGTTTCTGACACTGGACTCTCTCACCTCGATCATAACTTTCTGACATTAAACACTGTCCCCTTGATAATTACTTTTTAACACTTGGCACTCTCACCTCGAATATTCTTTTCTGACATTGGGCACTCTCAACTCGATTATAACTTTCTGACATAGGCCACTTTCTCCTCGATTACTTTTTTCTGAAACTGGACACTATCACCTCGACCATACCTTTCTGATATTGAACACTGTCACCACTATTATTACTTTCTGACACTGGGCACGGTCACCTCGATCATTTCTTTCTGACACTGGGCACTCTCATCTCGATCATATCTTTCTGGCACTCGGTTCTCTCACATCGATTAATACTTTCTGACACTGGGCTCCCTCACCGCAATCAAAATATTCGGACATTGGGCACTGTCACCTTGATAATTACTTTCTGACACTGGGCACTGTCACATTAATAATTACTTAGTGACACTGTGTACTCTCACCTCAATTATTACATTCTGCCAACTGGTACTCACACCTCGATTATTACTTTCTGACACTGGCCACTCTCGTCTCGATTATAATTTTCTGACACTGGGCACTGTAACCTCGATCATAACTTTCTGACATTGAATACTGTCACTTTGATAAATACTTTCTGACACTAGACACTGTAATCTTGATAATTACTTTCTGACATTGAACACTGTCGTCTTGATAATTACTTTCTGAAACTAGGCACTGTCACCTCGAATATCCTTTCTGACATTGGGCACTCTCACCTCGATTATTACTTTCTGACACTGGTCACTCTCACCTCGATTATAACTTTCTGACACTGGCCACTATCACCTCGACCATACCTTACTGATATTGAACACTGTCACCTCTATTATTACTTTCTGACACTAAACACTCTCACCTTGATAATTACTTTCTGACACTGAGCACTCTCACCTTGATCATTACTTTCTGACTTTGGGCACTGTCACCTTGATCTTTACTTTCTGACATTGGGCACTCTCACTTCGATCATTACTTTCTGACACTGGGCACTCTCATCTCGAAAATATCCTCACATCGATTATTACTTTCTGACACTGGGCTTCCTCACCTCAATCCTAACATTCGGACATTGGGCACTGTCACATTGATAATTAATTCCTGACACTGTGTACTCTCACCTCAATTGTAACATTCTGACACTGGGTACTCTCACCTCGATTATTACTTTCTGACAATAGCCACTCTCGTCTCGATTATCACTTTCGGACACTGGTCACTGTAACCTCGATCATAACTTTCTGATATTGAACACTGTCACCTCGATTATTGCTTCCTGACACTGGGCACTGTCACCTTGATAATTACTTCCTGACATTGGGCACTCTCACCTCGATTATCACTTTCTGACTTTGAGCACTGTCACCGCGATAATTAATTTTTGACATTTAACACTGTCACCTTGATAGTTACTGGATCACACTGGGAACTGTCACATTGATGATATCGTTCTGAAACTAGAAACTAGCTGTCACTTTGATTATACCTTACTGACACTTGGCACTGTCAACTTGGCTGACTATTAATGCATGGAGTCAAAGTTTCGTTACTGAAAGTCACAGCACCAACAACTGTCTTTTACGGGCTGTGCCTGCTGTTGTCTATGTATATCCTCTTTGAGTTTCTGGTGTATTGCCGATTTGGTTATTTATATATTTTACTATTATTATACAGAAAGTACAGCTCTACTTCCTACAAAACATATGTGAACACACCACCTGTTTCCTCGTGTGTACTTAGTGGGTTGGATTATAAATTGCATTTTATCGTAACACGATTTATGAGGTGTTGTTTGATCTAGCCACAAAGAAATTGTTAAGTCAGTATTATATCTTACAACGTTCCGTTCCACGCTATCTCGTTACTTTTACGTTTACGTAGATCACAGGTCAGATGACTCTCTGTATTCTGTGTATATATGACATTGGCCTAATTCTACTCACAGACTTAAGGGGTTGGGAGTCACGTCGCCCATAATGTTAATAAACCAGGACAAATGTCAGTTTAATGTACAATACACTCATTGTAATAATAAGCCCGCCATCGATTGATGCATTGCTAGCGAAAGTAATAAAAAAGAAAACACTAAAAAATCTATAGAATTTCTTATACCTACTACGTTTTCATTCAAATGTACATACTTGACTTTAGAATTTTAATTTTCTAACTCATATTAAACGTATCTTTAGCTGTTTATCCAAAACAAGAAGTTGTGAAAACTCAAGTCGTATTTGTCTTGACTGAAAAACCGAAGTAAGACTGATATTATAAAGCAAATTAGAACATAAAACCGAAGTAGAAACAAAATCGTTGTTCGAACTTAAACCTCTAGCTAGTAAATCGCCAACAATGATATTTGTTTATGTAATGCATGTAATAGAATGTGATCGTCTACTTAAAATTTGGATTCGTTGCATGATGTTAGTAATCCTTTCTGTGCACATTGCACATATGCAGGATCCCTGTACATTGATCAAATGAAATACAAATACCGTTTACTGTAAACGTATATATATTCCTATTTCAAAATTGAACACAAGGAACTGTCACTTTATTTTCCTGTGATCATTAAATAGAGCATCAACCAATTGAATAAGACATAAAAAAATAGTTTCTACTTAAGATATGTAAATGTATTATATCTTGGCTGTATAAATACTCAACATCAATATGAAAACTGACATGGTGTTATTTCTTCTGTAGTCAAATATGCCATTATATATCGAACCGATCGTGTAGGGATGAGTGCAATTGTCGCGTTTTATTATGTCTGCGAAAGTGCTGGTCGATTTTCGTTGTTCTCTCTTGTCAGGAAACAGTGTTTCAAACGGCATATTATATGACTTGAATACCACAGTACTATGGGCCTCTTGAGTGAGCAAGCGTTTATAATAGACTCTTGCTCAAGGATACAAAACCATGTGCTGACAGCTGGGCTCGACCAAAAACATTCAGTCATTTGCTGGTAAGAAGCTAAACATGCTGAATTTAACACTGTGCATGTTTTATACTTATTTAACGCAAGTATGTGCTACACGCAAGGTGAGACAGGAATACATCAGAATCTGTATATTTTAGTTAATGCATACAATTTAAAACACGGAATAATTTAATGTAAATCAATGTAGTTATAACTTTAAATCGTGAAGCGTGGACAAAATGTTGACAAAGAAATGATTTACACGGACAGAGAGATGAAGCCTATGATCTTTCGGAGAGGTAAGGGTCTCCTTTTTTTTCTTTATGACTCCCACCTTATAAATTTAGGTAAAATCCAAGTCAAGAGAGACATCACTGCAGATTGCCTTCTAAAATTATGTAACTTGGCTTTGATAAATATGATTGATAGCCATGACTCGTTGTAGAAATTCTATTGAATACAATGCCTCTAAAGAATCCTCTAAAGAAACCAGCCGTACAGCTTCAAAATGTATACGATTGGTTTTGCACTAAATGTATGCGCCAATAAAAAGAATACACAATTTGAACGCCAGCAGAGTGAACCCAAGTGTACGTTCAGATAACATTGTCGATGGCATTGTAGCATCATAATTATGTGAGTGAATGGCATGCTAAGCATAGTTTTGGTCATTAAAAGATGCATTAATGTGAGACACAAATGTACAGAACAAAAGTGCAAATGTAAAATGAAATTATCCAATTCTCATATAAAATATAAATGTTAACGTACCCGTCATTATTAGTTTCGACTTCGTTTTATTCACATAATATATGTTGTACATAAAACAAAGGTGATTGAATATTAATGAAGGAGAGACAGAAACAAATCATTTACTTTTCTTTGTAACCAACATTAACAACTATAGCTTAGGGAAAGTCACATGAATCAGGATAATTTACGGGGGAAGTTGGAAAAAGAGTTGGGGGAAATGCATTGTAAAATGTGGTACATGTACAAAATATGATATATTTAGGAATTCGTTTCATTGTGGTCAAAACTAATCCTTCTGTTGCGTCATCGTTAGTTCACTTTAAGGTTGAACGTTGATCTACAGACCATTTCAAGGTAAGTATATATATATTTTTGTGAGTAAGATTGTAGATCTAAAACATACTCTATCATAATCATGTGGAAGGTCTTTCCTACGCAGACAGGCGTTATGATAGACTGTTCACATTCCATACGTTATTACCGATCTCAGATCTTCAGAATTACGGTCGCATTAAAAAATAAATAGATGCATGAAAATTGATATTTCTATAGAAAAAAGAGGTATAGAACATTAATTCATAATGCGATATTACACTAAGAAAGGTTCAATAGCGCTATACCACAGAGTTTAGCTTTTTCTTGTCTCTAACATTAACTGCAATTATCGCCTGATTTTGTTCAAGTGGCTTGACTGAAATCTTAGTTCATTCTATCCAGTTGAAGAATTCTGCGTGCTCTTAATTGATTAAAAAATGGAATTTCTCTGATATACAGGTGTTTACATTGTTCTTTTGTTACGATAAATGGTGTATTCCACTTACTTCCTTCAAATAAAATAACGGACTGACCACCGTCCAAGGAAAGTTTACAAAAGTCATCATACTTAGTTCTAGTGCTTCTGAAGTAAGCTAGTTCTTCATAGAAATCGGGTGGTTGGTGTTTTAGTTTTTCTTTAAGTTTGTCCAGGAAAAAATTGTAAAGGGCGTAATCGAGATGTGCCCATTTTCTATATAGTCCTTCTTCTTCTGAGCCGATTTCCAATCGCGGATCCTTTTTCTTTTTGGAATTTAGTTTACCGTATAAAACGTATTGCAGATCCCAGTTTAAGAGTCGTCGCATCAGCACAATGGATTCGTCGAAATATTCTGTGACAATCACCAAGTCGATCTCATTATCCAGTTTCGCTAAAAAGCGCTGAATTTTGTCATGGTCTTTTGACCAAAACAAGTCTTGAGGAAACCCAAAATCATACGCCATTTTATTGTACGTGGAAGGAATGTTGTTTCCTCCAAACTTCATGTATTTATCATTGTGCAACAGATATTCCTGCACGGGTTTGTCTCCTGGTATGTTTAACACAAATCGTTGACGATAATACTGCAAATTAGATTGGAACTGATGGAACGGCTCCCTCACGATTCCTATATATTTAGTATCGTTCGGTAGTATTCGACCAAATGCTTCCCTGTCAAATCTAACGTGAGAACACAATATATCATAAGGTCTGCTTGGGGGCGGTGGAAGAATACTGCCAGGCCTCACGGTATTTGCCGTGCTAATGGTGGAACCAGCTCTTGGCAAAGCAAATACGAGGTCATTTTCATATCCATAGCGTAGGAATATATTCTGAACCGTGGTACTAGCAGCCTTATGAGCCTTTATGAATGCTATGTGATGGACCGGTTTGCCATTTGAGTCCTTGATTGGGTCGACATTCGGTTCAGGAATAGGTTGGACTTGCTCTTCCAAATCATAGAGCGTCTGTTTTGAGAGGTTGTTCTGTAGTAAGGAATGTTGTTCCGGAATTTTGTAAACTTGTTGATATTGAAGTGGTAATGGTTCACCATAAAAATCAGAGTTTAATGTTGACACGAATTTCCGAACAGGGGTATGTATTAAAGTTACGACAGTATCAAAGTATCTTCCGATACTGACTAAAATCATCGTCGCCAAGCAACTAAGTCCAAACATCATCCTGTAAAAACAACAAGGCACCTATACTGTTATATTTCCAACTAGTGATTGTCTCACTTTGGAGGTCTGGTACAAATAATATGCAATACATCTAAAACACGTATAAGCTTCCATTCTACACACAATCTCTTTGCAAATGATATACTTCAAATATAGCAGCGGGAACGTTAGGTACAGGTCGGATCGTATTTTTTATTTTCAAATTTTAGATACTATTTTTTAAGTTTTAGATATTTAATGATAGATTATGGGCCTTTGAGGTACGGTTTCATAAGCTATAATTATCACAGTATTAACAAATGCTTTTGAACACCATACAAGCACAGTCTATTTCAAAAGAAATGAATGCTAACTGTAAACACAAGCAAAGCGACATTACAGAAGAGACAATACATCTCTACGCATATTCATAATCAACGTATGACGTAGTTAGTGCAATATTTCACCCGGACTGACCTTAAATCATGGACTCTTGGTCAACATCGCACCATGCAATATTTCACCCGGACTGAGCTTTAATCACGGACTCTTGGTCAACATCGCACCGTAGATATTAATGTTATCATATATTTACTCTGTAAAGTAACTTGTACAGACTACAGACAATGTTAATTAATGATAATCGCTACTTACCACAAAAGTTTCTTATTTTGCATAGTTGTTTCAAACTTACACTCCAGCGAATAGTGGCAACCTTAACTCACGTGTCACGTGACGGAATCAATGTACCACGTGTTCCAATTGATATTCTGTTACCGGTAAATTGGCTGTACGTCGAACCAGCTGTTTCTATAAACTGCATATTATAGGCGATTAATATAGATGATATATTCGACAAAGTGTATATCTAAAATAAGCCGATTACGACACTAAGAATATGATCTGCATACCAATACTAGATTCTTGATTTTTTTATTGGACAGATATTATGAAATAATGTACAAATATACGTCCCTAGATACCTGTTTGGTTTCTGAAAATGATTAATGGCGCCTTAAGTATTCTCATAAATTCAACAGTGTTCTGTATAAAAACATTTTTTGTGATATCATTATATAAAATACAACCTTTACCGGAGGGATATCATATCGACTTATGTGATAAGTAAATTTTTGAATAGGTACTTATTTACCAGATGTTGACTCTGCTTGTGAACTTTGACCTCAAAGTAGTCCATGACATTGAAGCATAAAGGGCGGGTGTTTTAATGTCCTTTGGCCGTTAGTTTTCGAATTATCTCTTTATTAATAGATAAACGTATGTGTTATTGTATTAAGGTCGCAAGACCGAAACTGGAAGCATGATCCACACTCTGTTTCTCGGGCGCCAAAGGGATTGTTTAATCAGACATATCAGGGATTTGCTTAATAAAAGAAAATGCGTAATTAAAAACAAAAACTTAAAGTTTTAAGACACAAAAGATGTCTTAAAATTTACAATTTCACCTATGGATTATTAACATGATGAGATACGACGGGTAGATCTAATAGCTCGTTTCTATATAAAATCAATGATAATCATCAATAATTTATTTTTATTTTTAGTGAATCTGACAACAAATTATAAAAGAATGTGATGCATTAAATGCATACAGACTGCACACATTTTGTTTTATTATCTTGATTATTTATTCGAAAATGAGGTTAAAGCTTCCTAGTTGAGCAGAAAGGAGTGGGTTCAAATTATGATATTTATTTTAAGATTATTACATTTAACTGTGATAAAGATGTCAACTAAAACTGTGGTATACACATTGTAGATAAAAAGTAGGTTTTACAACGAAAACTTGACCGCACAACAATATTCTAAAACTTTAAATGTTCAAACATTTTAGAGTTGAGTTGAGGACGTCACTTGTTACATATTGGTTTGCTGGAGAAATTTAACATTTCATAATTGATTTCAAGCGCGATAGGTAGTTCTCACCATTCATTTTCTAATCAAATGTGATTTTGACTGAAAAAAATATTTTCTCAATTTTCATTCAGTATTACATGGTGAACAGTGTTTAAATTCATGGATAAACTATGAAATGTCTCCAAAATCTGATGACACGCCAGGGATACCATATTTCTACATGTATACAAGAAAGAATATCGTTTTGTCCACAATGATAAACCAACACCTGCAACCATGCTAAAGCGAGGATTATGACGTCTGAGCTCACCTAGTGTATACAGATGCGATTAACGATTCGGATTAATTTTTATATAGTTTATTCACTTACTTGACTGTATTTATTCAGTTTTCCATTTTTGTGAATATGTTTGTGAAAAATGCATTGTCGTTAATACGCTTTTTGTCAAGGATAGCTATATAAACGGCGAATAAATGTTATGGACGGGAGCTTCGTTTATCTCAAAAACATCTTGTCATCACCTTGTGTTATCACCAGTGTCCACTGTAGACTTATATATACACTATAATATCACCTTGTGTTATTTCCAGTGACCACTGTGGACTTATATATACACTAACCATACTATCACCTTATGTTATCACCAGTGACCACTGTGGACTTATATATACACTTACCATACTATCACCTTGTGTTATCACCAGTGTCCACTGTGAACTTATATATACTCTATACTAGCACCTTGTGTTATCATCAGTGTCCACTGTGCTATCACCTTGTGTTATCACCAGTGACCACTGTAGACTTATATATACACTATACTATCACCTTGTGTTATCACCAGTGTCCACTGTGGACTTATATATACACTATATTATCACCTTGTGTTATCACTAGTGACCACTGTAAACTTATATATACTCTATACTATCACCTTGTGTTATCATCAGTGTCCACTGTGGACTTATATATACACTATATTATCACCTTGTGTTATCACTAGTGACCACTGTAAACTTATATATACACTATACTATCACCTTGTGTTATCATCAGTGTCCACTGTGCTATCACATTGAATAGTCTCAGTAATAAAAAACAGACTACATAAGCATCCTGGTGAAATCACAACTATTCGCGCTGTACAACCTTCCTGAAGTTTTAATCAGTGTTTCATTGTATGTTTTTATAGTTTAAGCGATGACCCGTATAATAATTTACCAACAACTTCAAATTGTGCGAATGAACTTCCAAAATGCACCATATGTCTTGATAGGCGGTTTGGAAATGAAGCTTAATGATTTAAATATGAGTATTATCTGACTCAGCGGATTATTTCAGTATCAATATTTTTGACACGTTTTCCTATATTTGAGTAAGGTTTATATGAATTTATTACAATGAATGTGTTAAGGAAAACCTATAGCGTCCGCAGCGTATCACATGTGTTACTTGGGTTAACAATAAAACAAGGATAATATTATTTTATCCAAGTTATGTATCGATCCACTTGTTCGATTTATTATAGTAACGATTGGAAAATAGAAAAAAATCGGATTACGTGTGCTGTATGTACTTATTATTTGAAAACTGAACATATAAATCGAAGCAAAAGATACTAGCTATCGACAGAACAACGTATTTTGATTAGCAAAATAGTGTAATAGTAAACCTCTGAATACTTTCAAACAATAACCAACGAGACGATTAAGCTTTCACCGTAGCTCCTCATTACTGCAATGCCGAACTCCGCTGAGCATCAAATTTACAATTCACAATATTGATTCGTTATTCACACTTGCTGATTCATTGTATTAGTTGATAACCTGACCCACTTACAGATATGTAATGTGTAAACCCCACCAAATAGGGTATCCATCAACTCGACAAAACAAAAAATACATTACATACACTCGGTGAACCCATAGGACAATCAGCCAATATTCATTATGTTGCTTATATAATATATAAAATTTGAACACACATGAATACAATGTAGGTTATCTGCAGGGTGTGTTTATTTTCAGATCAATTAATATATGTCCTTATAGAGAAACGACATCAAAATAATACACTCCTAGATAATACATTGATACATATGACAATACACTCCTAGATAATACACCGATACATATGACTATACACTCCTAAATAATACATCGATACACAATACACTCCTAAATAATACATCGATACATATGACAATACACTCCTAGATAATGCATCGATACACAATACACTCCAAGATAATAAACCGATACACATAACAATACACTCCTATATAATACATCGATACATATGACAATACACTCCTATATAATACATCGATACATATGACGATACACTCCTAGATAATACACCGATACATATGAAACATATGACAATACACTCCTAGATAATACACCGATACACAACAGGCTCCTAGATAATACAACGATACATATGACAATACACTCCTATATAATACAGCGATACATATGACAATACACTCCTAAATAATACACCGATACATATGACAATACACTCCTAAATAATACACCGATACATATGACAATACACTCCTAGATAATACATCGATACATATGACAATACCCTCCTAGATAATACACCGATACATATGACAATACCCTCCTAGATAATACACCGATACACAACACGCTCCTAGATAATACATCGATACATATGACAATATGACAATACACTCCTAGATAATACACCGATACACAACATGCTCCTAGATAATACAACGATACATATGACAATACACTTCCATATGACAATACACTCCTAGATAATACACCGATACACAACAGGCTCCTAGATAATACAACGATACATATGACAATACACCCCTAGAAAATACATCGATACATATGACAATACACACCTAGATAATACACCGATACATATAACAATACACTTCTAGATAATACACCGATACATATGACAATACTCTTCTATATAATACACCGATACATATGACAATACACTCCTAGATAATACATCGATACATATGACAATACCCTCCTAGATAATACCCCGATACATATGACAATACCCTCCTAGATAATACACCGATACACAACACGCTCCTAGATAATACATCGATACATATGACAATACCCTCCTAGATAATACACCGATACATATGACAATACCCTCCTATATAATACATCGATACATATGACAATACACTCCAAGATAACACATCGATACACAACACGCTCCTAGATAATACATCGATACATATGACAATATGACAATACACTCCTAGATAATACACCGATGCATATAACAATACACTTCTAGATAATACACCGATACATATGACAATACACTCCTAGATAATACCCCGATACATATGACAATACCCTCCTAGATAATACCCCGATACACAACACGCTCCTAGATAATACAACGGTACATATGACAATACACTCCTAGAAAATACACCGATACATGTAACAATACACTCCAAGATAAGGCACAGATACATATGACAAACCGCTCCTGTGTTATACGCTGATGCATAAGACAATACACTTCTATATTATACATCGATACATACAATACACTCCTAGATAATACACCGATACATATGAAACATATGACAATACACTCCTAGATAATACACCGATACACAACATGCTCCTAGATAATACAACGATACATATGACAATACACTCCTAGAAAATACACCGATACATATAACAATACACTCCAAGATAAGGCACAGATACATATGACAAAACACTCCTGTGTTATACGCTGATGCATAAGACAATACACTTCTATATTATACATCGATACACACAATACACTCCTAGATAATACACCGATACATATGACAATA